ATACAATCATAGTAGTCTTGTATTTAAATATTCTAATATGAAGAAAATAAACAATAAATTAATGGTACGAACATGGTACTACTTTATATGATTCATGAACATATTAGTATTGCAGTATCATCTAAGATAGGTAAGTTTAGCAAATTTGAGACCGATCGATCGACAGACTGATGATCAGAGACGTAAGTACTGTAGAAACTTATTTGCTTGCTTCATGCACGTTACCGTAGATTGAGCTAAGAAGGCTTAGGTAGGGTATATATAATAAATAAACAAAATACGAGTAGCGGAAAAAGGGGTCAAAAACCCATGGTACAAAGAATACAAGGTATGATCGATAGCGGCTCCAATTTCGTTCAGTTCGCGCATACCACCTGTGACGTCACTAGGAAAATAATGAATAAATAAAAAATAAAGAAAGTTGACAGGAGATCTGCATTTTTGAGGTTATGGTTAAGAATTGTTTATTTTTAAGACTTTTTAGTCGTTTAATTTAATAATTACTAAAACCAGCAGTTCCAAAAATATATTTAAAAATAATAATTATCTATTAACATGGATTTGGACGATAGGTAAGAATACTGAATTTATTTCTATATTCGGTATAAAATTGTTTATTAGGTTTTTAGTTTGCGATGTTTATGGTAAATAATTTTCATTTTCATTGCCTCTGAATTCACATGAGGACAGAGTTGAGGATATCTATGGAAAAGTAACCACAAGAGGAATTGTTACATCATTTAAAAAATATTGGGAAGTTTATTGTTTCCCATCGAAAAGTAGAAAATGCCAATGCAGATGAACGTATTGTAATTGTGATAGAAGTAATTCTAAGGGTGAAGTTTATTATAATTAGTGGAAGTAATACCAAGGGTGAAGTTTATTATAATTAGTGACCTCTGCTTCTTTTTATATGTAGAAGTTTCTGGTTTTGAGAATAAATCGGTTGAACGACACCCAAAATTTAAAGGAAGTATTTGCATACCCAGAATATGCCCATCAAGGATTATATAGCTCAAATTTCCTTTAATGGTAGGCAATTATTCAATGCAAATTAACTTTTTAAGTGACTAAAATATTAAATAGTTTACAATATGGTATATCACTAAAAATATATTACTTTTAGGTACAATTAGGGCCCGATACATTTCAAAAAGTAGAATATTATTTTATATTAAATGAGGTATTGTACTAACAATCAATTTATATTAATAATGGAGATTAAAAAATAACAGAATAAATAGTTCTTTTTTATACTACAAAAATAAACTATAGAATACAACAGTATTTAAAAAATAAATAAAAGTGATGTTCCGGCCGAGATTCGAACTCCGGTCTCTCGCTTCCTAGCCCGACTCCTTATGCACTGCTCCACAGTAACTTGCTTAGCGATAATTCAATGACGGTATATAAACAAAAAAAACAGGTTTATAACAATATCTTGACGATTTGAACTGGCGCGCGGAGCGTGCTGACCAATAGCGCCTGTTATCACCTGTGACGTAGCAACCAACCTGCGCAATATCATACCTTGTATTCATGTACCATGTCAAAAACCCCTACATATATGCTTATTCTCTGCATTAAGTTCATCAGACCGAAGGGAACAGCCATTTGACGATCGGTTTCGGAGATTTTTCTCCATCGTCAGGCCGACTTTGCTATAACCCTCGATCTGACCAACGAAAAGCAGAGAATAGCATTTGAGTACAAAATGTACTACTACGGCAAGAGTGCTAGACGCTCTACGCCATCTCGAGGGTTACAGCAAAGTCGGCCTGACGATGGAGAAAAATCTCCGAAACCGGTCGTCGAATGGCTGTTCCCTTCAGTCTGATGACTTAATGCAGAGAATAAGCATATATGTAGGGTTTTTTGGCCCCTTTTTCCGCTATTCGTATTTTGTTTATTTATTATATATACCCTACCTAAGCCTTCTTAGCTCCATCTACGGTAACGTGGATGAAGCAAGCATGTTTGTCCAGTAGGCCGCTGGTTTTAATTTTGGCGGTACGATCTGTGATTGTCACAGCTACCGCTAGATGGCGTAGAGCATCTAGCACTCTTGCCATAGTAGTACATTTTGTACTCAAATGCTATTCTCTGCTTTTCGTTGGTCAGATAGAGGGTTACAGCAAAGTCGGCCTGACGATGGAGAAAAATCTCCGTCGTCGAGTGGCTGTTCCCTTCGGTCTGATGAACTTAATGCAGAGAATAAGCATATATGTAGGGTTTTTTGGCACCTTTTTCCGCTACTCGTATTTTGTTTATTTAAAAACTTATTATCATCCAAAAGAAATAATATTACTAATGATGAATATTCAAATATTCAACATCAGTTTTCCAAAAGATATGAACTGTTTATTTTAGATATAAGTAACTGGTAACCTAACCAACTAAAAGTTTGCAACAATATTATATTATTTTTATACGGTTTCTATACCGGGTGCGTCTCAAAAGTGGCTCACCCCTGTAACGTTTTTATTTTTTCAGATAAAAAAAACGAGATTTGGTATGTTAGTATATGACATAAATTAGGATTTATTGGCGCATTCAATTGTTTTTGGTCACTTCCTGTTTCACCGGAAATGACTACAACTTTTGATTTTTAAATGGCACCGTCGGTATTTTTTTTACTTTATTCGATAGAAAATGGCGTTCTGAATAGAATGACATATCATATGTCAACTTTTGACATTCTCGCTTAATAAAAAATTGTATTTTAAAATTCAATCTAGAGTGCCATGACTATATTAAAAACACTAATTTTTCATCAAGGAGCCTTGGAAAAATAGATTTGATCGTCTAATGTTTTTAGTGTCTCGTTCTGGCCAGTTAGAAAATGCTAAAATCGTATTTTTAATCATATCTCAATTTTTCAAATGGACCGAGGGTGGCTCATTAGCATATTTGGAAAAAGCATTTTTTTACGAATAATTTGATACCACACACTTGGTATTTCGAGTCAAATTTTCGTTACGAACCGCAAGTTATAATTTCAAATAAACCATATGCGAAAATATCAAAAGTTGACATTTGATATCTCATTCTATTCAGAGTGACATTTTCTATCGAATAAAGTAAAAAATACCGGGGGTGTTATTTAAAAATCAAAAGTTGTAGCCATTTACGGCGAAACTGGAAGTGACCGAAAACAATTGAATACGTCAATCAATCCTAATTTATGTCATAAACTAATATACCAAATCTCGTTTTTTAACTAAAAAAATAAAAAAGTTATAGGGGTGAGCCACTTTTGAGACTCACCCGGTATAAAAGAAATTTTTCTATGGTAATCGCAAAACAATTTCCGATGTACGTGATCAACTTTGAGTGACAAGCGATGGCGACAGCGCTGTCAGATTGTGATGTATTTATGACATGAATCTTAATTTAAAAGTGACAAACAATGTATTTATTATATCATTTTTTAAAGATTTTTACATTTTGTTTTTAATTTAATAACTAATATTTTAGTAATTAATCGATTTATTTGTTTCATAGCTTATTTTACTTATTACATGTTGGCGAAAACTAGTCCATTATGAAGATTATTCTAAGCGTTATTATGGGTTATTTATTTATTTATTTATTGAGGTATATCTTACAACGCCATAAGTGGTAATAAAAAGTAAGAGGGTGCTATTAATGCACAAACTGATAATCACAGAATTTAATAAAAACTAACGTAGAAATAACTTTGAAAATGGTGTAATGTGCTTATCAATCAAACTTACTCCTCTGACTGCAGTCAAGGGTAATATCGTATATACCTTTATCGTCACGTTCTTGTTCAAAATAGTTTATCAAGGAAGCTACAAGCCCTTTGCTTTGACTGTTTAAATGCTTCGGCATATTTACAACACACGATTTCAAGGAATGCAATACAAAAACTCGAAAATTTAGTTCTTAAAAGAACTGTTTGTGCAAAAGTACAATTTTTAAAAAAAGACTATGAAAATTGGCGAAAAAACGAGAATTACTCACAAAATTCAACAACACGATATTATACAAAATAATTACTATAATGACATTAGGATAATTGTCAAATAATGAACGACAACCTAGCTGAAAATGGCGCAATGTGACCAATATAGCGATAATAAAATTCGGTTTAAAATAATTTTTGCAACTTTAATCTTAATAAAATATCTGTTACAATCATTTACTCTATAAAGTAAAATGAAGAGCTGCTCGGTATCTTGAATTATACAACAAATTTAAACATTTTTGCCACAATTTCATCTAGTCAGGTTTATAGACTTTAGTGTCAATGTCGATATAATTGATAACATGCATCTCGGAAAATGTTTTGCGATTACAATATCTTGTTATTACAAACACATAGCAACATACACAATACATAATGTTAATAAATAAAATTATATAAGGATTCTTGCCACTTAACTGCTTATATAGAAATTTAATTCTACGCTGTGTAGATATATACATAATGTGGATCAACCTGAGATCAACCGAAACCGGTAGTGAGAGCAGGTTGATCCACATTATGACAGACACAGCGTAGAATTAAATTTCTATATCAGCAGTTAAGTGGCAAGAATCCTTATATAATTTTATTATACACCTATACTGCAAGAAATTTGTTTTCTATTTTATAATTTGGCTTGCCTGAAAAAAGCCTTTTACCATCCTTTTACTATCGATAGTTGCGCCACGGTGGTACGAAAGTACTACCATTGCACGCAGGCCGCTATCTCCCGTTCGGGACTTAATATCTAATCGATACTTTCCGACAAGTCGGAATTAACTATCTCTGCGCTGTGATTGTCATTTTGTGGATCTGCCCAAGCTCACCTGATGATGGAGTAGGGCTCCGAAACCGGTAGTGAGAGTAGGTTGATCTACATTATGACAGACACAGCGTAGAATTAAATTTCTATATCAGCAGTTAAGTGGCAAGAATCCTTATATAATTTTATTATACACCTATACTGCAAGAAATTTGTTTTCTATTTTAATATTAATAAAGATGTTACCTTATTCTTCCCTGTACTGAACTCCTTTGGGACCTAGCTTCTAATCTGAACCAACCTTCTAATCCGGTGGATGGAATATCTTGTAAAGGTATCGTGACACAGCCCAAAAAGTCATCTTGTGAACTCTGCCTAGCTGACTGGCAGACTTGCTTAAAAAATCTTCCTAAACCTGACAGGAAAATTGAATACTTGGTATACTACTATTCAATATACAAAAACGTGTTTGATATTTATACGTTTGTTAAAAGTAAAATGCATGACTAAAACTGAACTTAATCTGTTGATGATTCTAACACTTTTCAACTAAATTATATTTATTATAAATATAATTATTTATTAATAAATTATGAGTTTTTAAATTTAGTATATTAATATACACACAACCAAACTTATATGGAATCACTCTTTATTTCTGACTAAATTTCTTGCAAGAATAAAAATTGGTATATAACTTTAAGATAAAGCTTTTTGTTGTAAATAAACATGATAATAAAGAATAAACGACTATATATTCAGTAGTAAAATCACGATTGTCCGGTAAATTTCATTCAATCCAAAAAAATTAAAAAATGCCTTATGTTGGATTAACAGATGTATAGAGGGGAAGAATTATTGCTCTAACCGAACAAGGAATGCTCCAGAAAGACGTAGCAGAGATAGTAGGCGTTACCCAGGGTGTTGTATCGAAAACATATGCAAGGTACTTGGAATTAGGAACACCCAAGGATAGGCCCAGACAAAGCCGCCAAAGAGTCACAACTGAACAATAAGACCGCCTTGTGTGCTAAATTGCTAGAATAAATCCCAATGTTTCTCATGCAGAGCTGCAAAGACAACTACTGGCAGCTACAAGTGTGAACGTTTCAGTTGAAACCATAAGAAAAAGGCTTCGTGTACAAGGGTTTTACAGCAGGAGAGAGTTACGGATCCCACAGTTACCTCGGCAAAATAAAATTGACCGGCTAAATTGATGCCTTCAACATCAAAACTGGTCAACTGAGAATTGGCAAAATGTTCTTTTTTTCGGATGAGATAAGAATTGGCCTAAGATCAGATAACTATCAAATTTCTCAGAGCTCCAGGAGCGAGATTCCAGGCTGCCAAATCCGTACCAAGATATAAAGGAGGAACTGTAATGTTCTGGGGAGGTATTATACTAGGAGCAAAAACTCCATTGTTACCACTTCAACAAATTTTAACGGGTGGGAGATATGTTGATTTGGTGCTAGAACCACTCGTTAGTCTTTGGAGAGCTAGAGCTGCAATTAGGGATAATTTTAACTTCATGCACGATAGTGCACCTCCCCATACCAGCAGAGTGACTAGAGAATGTCTTGAAACGAAAGGTGCCATAGTTTTGAACTGGCCTGTCTATTTACCAGATCTAAACTTGTGGGACTAGCTCAAAAGAAGGGTTATAGCTCGTCGAAACAATCCAGGAAATCTCGCACAGCTTATTGATGCAGCATTAGCAGAATGGGAAAACATACCCCAAGACAACGTGGATAATTTAATAAGAAGCATGCCAGCGCCGATAGAAGCTTGTATAAGGGCTAGAGGTGGCAACAAGGAATATTAAAATTATCAATTTTCTTTCTGCTTATGCTTTTTGGCCATTAAAAATTTAAATCTTAATTTCGTTTCAGAAACCAAAAAATTACCATTTTGTTTATTTTGGGAAATGATTAATTTTTTTTAATTGCTATTTGGATTATTTTTCATTAAAAGTCATTAGTAAGGACTGAGTTTTATTCATAAACAGAAAATTTTCATACATCTCAAAAATTATGAAAAATAATAGATGATTCCATATAAGTTTGGTTGTGTATATATACTTTAATTTATTAAATTAAAGCATATTGAGAATCTTTTGAATAGTTGTCAATATACTTGACATGAGATTGACGTAAATATGATATAGAATTATATTTTTTGAATACAATTTCTCTTACCTCTGACACCTCGTACCTCGTTCAATTTGCTTACTGCTTCTAAAACTGAGCTTTCGTCATCATGGTCCCAGATATCCAGATGTAATGAATCGCTGTTAATGTCGTCAATGTCGCTGGAACAAAATACATTACTTAATATAACTTTCTACAAAGAAAAAGCTACAACTATATAACAGCAGTATTTATTACTAAATACAAAATTCTTGCCTTGAGCTGCTATATTTTTCAATTCTCGTAAGTCAAAAAAGAAAAAAAAAAGGAAAATATTTGTATGTTAGTTATTAAGGGGGGAACCAACTCCAACTCCCACGACCGGCTTCTGAGCCTAGCCTTCATCAGGTGGGCTGTCCCGAGATTTTTTCTCAAAAAATCAGTGCTTTATCAGAATCTCTGGATTATTTTTTTTTCATCCATTGTTTTAGATTTTAATTTCTTATAAAATTTGATAAGTTCTGGTACTAAATCATTCTATGTATAAAATTAACTGTTTTTAAAATAAATAATAACATTTTATTGAAGTAAAAACTGCAATAAGTTAGATTTCGAAAAATATATATACAGGGTGGCGCCTCTCATACAAAGCAGAGGCTCCAAGAAGAACGGTAGTTTATATCGAAATGAAATTTTGGGAGCATATGTAGGTTAATTAAAAGCATTTTATAAAAATATATACTCTTAAGAAATTTTATATTTCTTCTATTTTTACCGAAATTCATAAATCTTGTTTGTTGCTTGTATATTTCTTATAAATATCGTTAACTTTTCTTCACACAAACATATACAGGATGATGCATCGGCGTTGGAAATATAGGAAATCTCATGTGAATTTTGAAAAAAAAATCATATTTACGACTTCGTTGTAAGATCAACGGGAGAGTCAATATTTGGACAGTTCAAAATTTGCATGGGGTTTCCTATGTTTAATATGTTCTTTTAAGTATATTTTTTTCTTTCAACAAAACTTTAACTAACGCTTGAATATTGTAAAAGTACAATCCAATGTTATACAAAACTACAAATAAAAATTCTCGTTATAGTGCGTGTCTCCTTACAGATATTACTCAAGGTGACCTTAAAATGTCTGTGAAGCTTTCTACTACAAACTGCGAAGCTTAAATTAGAACGTATTAATTCAGTTTATCTTATCTCTACAAAAATAAAGGAGACACAATCCCATATAAATAAAATGTTATCTCTATGTTTGTCCTGTAGCAATTCTTTTTCTTGAAATCTATTCCAGTAATATATACTAAACATAATAGAGAACAACGGCACAGACTACAAACACGTAAACGTTTACGTACGCAGGCGCATTTCTTATATTTTTACATGTATAAGAGGCTTTACTTCTACGTATAATGATATGATAATAATTGAATTGATGTGATTCGTATACATAACAACGCTTTCAGATGGAACGGAGCGTCCGCGACGGACCTTCCGCGACTTCGAGCAAGTACCATGAGTTTATATGAACAATTTCACATGGATCGCGTATGCTCCGTCCGGATGAGTTCGTCGACGACTATCTTGAAAAAACATCCGCGCGGACGCGTACGACGGTCCGCTCCATCTGAAAGCGCTGTTAAGGCCCCAACAGACTACGATCTTTTTCATCCATTCGCATCGCTGCGAGTCTAATCGGCATGCCAAACTGATAGTCTGTGGCATAAAACCGTCGGATGGAATCGTCGGTTTAAATATCAGCCGAAGCTTGATTTTGGACACGCCGAGACGAACGGTTTGCGCCAAACCGATAATAGCTTTTTTCGGGTTCTTGTTATTACCGATTCTGAACCGTCCTAGAACTTTGCAGCGCATGCGCAAATAAAATAATGTCTTCATATTTCCTTCTGCGCATACGCGTCACAGTTCTAGGACGGTTCAGAATCGGTAATAACAAGAACCCGAACAAAGCTAATGTGTGGGGGGTCCCGTTGTAACCTGACGGGTTCTTTTCAGTAGCGTATATGCTTTTAATCGCCTTTGTTGTTGTTGTTCCTGTTCAGTTGAGTCTTCGTTAGCAAATATGGACCAAAAATCGACTAATAAATAAATTTTAATAGAATTTATCGAATTGTATCGAAAGTTTCCTTGTTTATGGAAAATTAAATCTGAAGAATATCGTAGTAAAAACAAGAGCAAAAAAAAATCAACCAATCCCCTGGTTCGAGTTTCAATTCTTTCAATAAATTGACATGGGAAAAAGTATTTCTTTTTTGCAGCCATTGTTTTACCCATATAGAACGATTTTTTCCTTTTTTAGCTATAACTGCTGGATCGCTGCCACTGCTAATAATTGCGTACGGTTCATCTTGGTGTTTGAAATAAACTGGTAGCTGAGCGTATAGTCTATCGGCACTATAGTTCGGCGATGCAGCACGACGTTTCAACTCGCCACGATACGAATGGACGCAAAATATCGTAGTCTGTGGGGGGCTTTAGGGTGTACTCTTTCATTAATTGTTTATAAAGTAAACCAGAATACACAATAATGTATAAAAATTTAGTACTAATATAAATAAATAACTTCCTTATCGCCAACAAAGTTCATGAAGGAAACCGTTAAAAAATTAAATATAATTAAATTATTTGTAGAATCTTTTAAAGTACCTGGTGGATAATACAGTTTGAGTTTGAAACATTTGGTGTAACAACAGCAAAATAAAACACTATTCACCACAATACACCAAAACACTTCATTTTTAACAACGGAAGCGTGTTTTGCTAAATATATTATCAGCTGATAATTAAAACTCAAAATTAAATTGATTTAAGTCGTTTGTTAATGATGTTAACATGGCTAGTGACACACGCGTTAAAAGAAAAGTATTTTGGTGTATTTTAGTATATTTGTCTTTTATTTTGGTATCTATCTAAGAATGTTTAGTTATTTAATTAATTAATGGAGTAATATTAGTTAATCATAAAAAAATGAGTAATTAGAAATTAATAAAAATAAAGAAATAATGAAAAACATACAACGTATTTCACATCCTAACAAATTATGTTAAAAAATGGAAATCCATTATGTTTAATAAAACTAATAAATAGATAATGCTAAACTAATAACTTTTTATATTTTTAAAGGTTTTGTTGTATAACAATCCAGGGTCGTTTAAAAACTGGAAGAAGTAATATTTTGGCCAACTATATGACCAAAGACATTATAAAGATAGACCGAACATCTCATTCATAAATACTCGTTGGTAGTGTATCAAACATTCCAATGTGTCAAACAAGGACAGAAGAGATAGAGAAGTCTAAAATTTCCGGCCCCGGCAACTAAGCGCATTTGGATTGTTCTAATGGCCAGTGGCGTATCGTTTTTTGGAACGAATTTAATTAGTAAAGTAAAAGTAAAGTAATTAGTAAAATTTTTACTCCTATTAATAATTTTTACTCCATATTAATATACTACATTAACACTTTTTCGTCAGATGAGTTTTTGTTATAAGGTCTAATATAATAATATAATTAATATCCCACATATACTTATGTTGAAACGTTAGTAGTATTCGAAAATCGCTCCAACGTCGATTTTCAATTTAAACTTTCAGTTACTTTTGAATATTCACAGGGTGACTCAGGCTTCCGAAACAGTTCTATGTTAAGTTTGTGGTTGGTGACTTTCCTTTCAATTTTTTTTCAGAATATGGAGGCAATGGTAAAGCACATTTTAGACATTTTTGTAAACATAGGTGGCCGGAACATATTTTCAAACTAAAGTTGTAGATTTGCCATTAAATTTCCGTGCCAGAAATACCTAGGGTTGCCACTTGTCCTTTTTTGAAAAGGACAGTCCTTTTTTGGAATAACTTGTCCTTTTGACTTTTTTTGACTTAAAAAGTCATTTTTATTTACGTATTTTCCCTGAGAAATTACCTACAGCAAACAGAAATATTCTTTTCGTCCAAATTTAATTAGGAATGGTATAAAACTTATAAATAAATTTTTCTTGTTTAGAATAGGCAACATTATTTAGAACTTCCCGTTTAATCTCAAATGATACTTTAGGTTTTAGTTTTACCTTTTTTTATCTTAAAAAGAACTTTTCAAAATTAGTAATTAGTAACGATTTAGTTAGTTCGCAATCGATAGCTTCCTGTGAAGTACTGTGTAATAGTTGTTTAATCTTGTATTATTAATAACTTCCTATACCTAAAATCAATATTTAATGAGAAAATTGTGTTTTTTTTTTGAAAATATAAGACAAGGTTTGACTCTTTCGGTCTTCTTCTTGTATTATGATGGCTCTGATAAGAGGCAATTGCCTTTTAGTCTCTCAATAGAAGGCATTTATCATTAAAAGTATAAAATCTGTGTGCTACAGTATGGGATTTCTGTCGCATAATAATGAATACCTATTACGTTTATTTACAAATCCATTACTTTTAAAGGTAGCTTCATCAGATAATCAAATTTTAGTTAAATGTCCCAATCTTTATGAACTGTATTAAGCATATGTATTGCGGTTTGAATCACCCTGTATGTTGACAAAAATATTTTGAAAATGTGCGTTACAATGGCCCTCATCTTATTTAAAAAATTGAAATAAAAATCACAAACCATAAACGTAATAGGTAAAAAGCTTTTTTGGAGGCCTGGGTCACTCTGTATATAGGTATGTATAAAACTAGTAGCCTAAGAATTATTTACAGTTCGTCCCATTTTAAAAAAAAGTTAGAGACACCGTACAAATAACTCTAGGAAGATGTATTTGTACGGTGGTAAAAAATTGTCTAAACAAGGCCGAAGAGGCAGATATAATAAAGCAATAAAATGTAAAAAAGGTCGGGTAAACCTTTGTTTATTTGTCGAGCAAAATTCCTGGCGAATATCGTATATAATGACCAAAATATGACGCAATTTTAAGAAAAAAAATGTCACTTTCTGGCTTATAATAAAGTTTCAAATGCAACGTTTATATTCAAATTTGTTATAATCTACAACAGTTAGGTAGTAATTGAGACGAATTATAATTCAATTGCCGGCTACTACGTTCTTGTTTTAATAGATCAAAATTCAACAAATATAATTAGAAATCATTTTAATTGTGAGAGGCTCCCTTGTGGGACGCCTATGTACAATTACGGCGGAAATATAAAACGTC